AAGGATCTTTGCTATGAATATTGGAATTATTGTGTTACTTTGAATTTAAGCACCCTGAAACATGATATTATTTAAGTCATACTATGATATTAAAATTAGGAAAAAATATAAAAAGTAGCCACCATCAAATTTATGTTCAGAAGGACTTTAAGACCAGAAAAGTAATAAAAAATAAAAACAACTTTATAATAGCCTCAATAATAAAAAAAATCTTAATTTAGAACTGGAATTCTCCTCTTCCTTACTGTACCAGAGTACACCATCTTAAGTGACACTTAAAAATCACTGGTAAAGCAACATTTTAAAGTGGATTTTTTGAAGACCTGATCTTTGGGAGTAAGAAATCAGCAGAAATAAGATGGTAAAATGTTTACTTAGAATTTAAGCAACACTATGAGTTAAAAATCTGACTTTTATTCAGATTTTATGACTTCAAAATGTGAATAAAAAGTGCCGCTTGATTTTCAATACAGAAATTTAATTTCAAGCTCATGAACAATTCATGTTACTTATAATTCAAATATCATTAAATAATTACTTAAATTATTTTAAGTTCATGAAGTAGTTTAAATGATAGTTTAAAGTACTCAGTTTTTTTACTCAACGTGAAACTGACTTTTATTATACACTTTAAAAGCATTAGGTTGAATTTTATAGACAATTCATAAGTGAATTTTATGCAACTTCTTTAAAAATATGTAATAAAATTTAAAATTTCTTTGTTATTTTCAATAAATAAGAACAATATTTTTTCATTTAATATTTATTTACATAGTACCATATAAAATATTTTACATTCCTTTTTTCTATTTACAAAGTATAAACCTTAATGCACCATAACCTAAATATAGAATTTAGTTATATAATATATATATATATATATATATATATATATATAAATTTAGTTTTATATGAATAATTTCAATCAAGATAAATAAAATCAGAATCACACAAATCAACTAGAATTTCATAATTGCAAGGATACATCTTTAAAAATAATGACAGATATTAAGAACATGTCAAATTGTTACATTTAGTTAGCTCTAGTTAAATTGTAGTTTTACAATATCAATATTGACATACAGAAGTAGAATACACAGATTATTAAGAAGAAAAAAATTAATTTTTTAGTCATAGAAATTTTCAAATGCATTTACTTTGAAAGCAAATATAAATCAAATGTTTAATTCTATCATATCACATATTGAATTCCTGCACTTGAGCTAAACTACAGTCATCAGATAAGCTCAAAATAAGTTTTATACATTTTTACGAAAAACAGTTACACTTAACATAGTAATTATGGCATTTAATCATTCTCAATAAATATTGTCTCACCAAATTCTACATAATTAACAGTTTCTTGTAAATAAGTATAAAAAGTATAAAAAAATACATCCCACATAGCTGCCAATTTTTAAATCTTATGAGCCATTCGATTTTGTATTTAAAAAAAAAAAAAAAAAAAAAAAAAAAATTTTTTTTTTTTTTTTTTTTTTTTTTTTTTTTTGGGAAGAAATTTGTTTAACAACATAAGTTTTTTTCACATTGGGCAGCGATATCATTTGAAATGAACGCCAAATTTACTTTAATTCACTTTATATAAATTATTTGCATTTCAATTCTGATGCAAAATACATTAATGTTTAATTAGATATTCTAAATTTTATGTTCTTTTGTCTCATTTCATTTTTTAATTTTCTTATAATTTTATACTAAGAATATCTTGTATATAGAAAAAAAGATTTTATTTATCAAAGTTTTTATTTGTCTTTTATTATTTTAAATATGATGAAAATAAAATTAATAATCATTGTACATAGTATTTGTGTGAATAAACTTAGTAACATATTATATAGTGAAGTAAACAAAATTAAATATAAATATTAACTGATTAAACATTGCTTCAAACTTCATATAAAAATCAGCAAATGTCTACAGTAGATTTAAAAAAAACTCAGTTCAGTGCAATTTAATAAGAAAAATTTAATGAAACTAAGCTCAATAAAATGCAATAATAAAAAAAAGTACAATTCAGATGAAATTAAGTTTAATAAAAAGAATTATTTTGAAAATCATTAGAGACGTAGGAATGGGAAATGTCTAACTTAAATTTCATTAATTCAGTAAATTTCATTAATTGCTGGGAAACAATTTCTTTAATATAGGCTAAAAATTAAAAACCAGGAGATTCGGTGATCTTTCAGGAGATGTGCTGAAAAATCCAGAGCGTTGGCAGCTATGATCACATATTAATAATTTCTTTTCAGTATTATTATCAAAAGGCAGTAAACAATATATTGCTTTTTCTAAATTTATGATTCCAAGAATATATTTATTATTATGTGCATTATAAACTGCAATAAATAAGCAGCTATATATACAATACAGTGACATAGATGTACACTGCTCAAAAAAAGAGGGGGGCAGTTCTATAGCTCCCGTTCTACTGAGCTGATCGACGAAATTCAAATTGCACTTTTCACGTCTCGAAAGTGCGACTTAGGATATATATATTAGATTTATACATAGCCTTGTTCTAACATAGGTATTTTGACACAAAATCAGACGTTTTCTGAAGTAACATACCAATTTTTTCCACATTTCAATTCTATGGCTAAAATTATGAATAAATATTAAATTTTGTAAAATTTGGTGCAAAATTTATGGAGAAATTCAAAAATTTATCTTGGCGAAATTTTTTAGTTTGCGCCAAGAATAATTCAGTTAGCAAACTTCTTAATATATGGCAAACAATTTTCCTTTCCCTTCCATTATGCCAGAGCGGAAAAAAAGGAGCAGAAAATGAATTTTTACATTGTGCATGAACGGGGAAAAAAGTCATATTGTTCCTACTTTCAAATAATTTTAGCAAAGTGTCTAAACCACATTTGATATTTTATTGCTTTCAACAAATATGCCAATTTAAAAACATGCCAATATATAAATTCACATATATCTTCAGAAATTTTGAATAAAAAACTCATTTTTTGCTGGTATGCTTAGAAATATGTCTACTTTAAGATGATGGTAAAATTTTATAGATTAAAATGCAATTTTTTTAATTTATAAAAATTATTTTAAAATACAAGTTTTAAAAATAAATAAAAAAAAAAAAAATGAGTGAATTTTATTTGGAATGAACCTGAATTTCGTAACGTGAAAAGAAGAATCAAATAAGTTTAATAAAAAAAAAAAGAGATTAATAAATATATATCAAACTCAATTAACATTGAGGAGCTACAGTTTTCAGAGCTAATTTTTAAAAACTACTTGTGCAATATTTACAAAACTTGGCAGTTTGGCGTAATTTGAGTCGTAGAATGGAAATATGGAACAAAATTGGTATGTTAGTTCAGAAAAAGTCTGATTGTGTCAAAATACCTACATTAGAACAATGCTATATATCAATCTAATATATATCCTAAGTTGCGCTTTCAAGACATGAAAAACGCAAGTTGAATTTCGTCAATCAGCCCAACAGAACCGGAGATATAGAGCTGTCCCCCCCCCCTTTTTTTTGCAGTGTACATAAAAAAGGCATAGAGTGATAATTCAAGTATGAAAATGTTAATAAATAAATAAATAAGCACGATCACTGTAAAAACATACATGAAATAATATTATATTCAAAATAATCACAAAGTTTATGTGCATGATATCTGCAAAAACTGTTAGATATTAGCCCATTGTCTACAGAAGAAATGTATTTAGCATCCAAGACAACAGAAGATACTAAATACATTTCTTCATTCAACCGGGACAGCTAAGAATATTAAATAAATTTCTCCTCCCATTTGCATTCCTACATGTTGTATGAAAGGAAACGAAATGAAAGCACCTTTTGAGAGGATGTATTTTCAACGAAAGCATACACAAACAAGCTTGAATTCTTTACATAAAAAAACAATCCTTGTTCATGCTACAGTTACCTTATTTGCCATATTTTTTACGCTCTGAAACCATTTATTCTTCTAAAAATGGTTGTGTTCGCTCAGTCATTTCAGGCAGTCAAAGTTGAAAGAATGCAACAACCGTTTTCTAACAGAAAACAAAAGAAGCACTCTTATCAATGCTTCCAGGAATATCAGGAGCACAGGAGCAAGTATGTGCATTCAAAAGAATGTTAATTCATGGTGGCTGTTAATAATGCCTTATTTATTTTGTTAGTATAATTTAGCTACTTGTGTATGGCAACAATAGGAGATATTTAAGTTTGAGAACGATGTAACAACGCGAGGGGCGTCATTGTTTTTTCTGTGATAATAAAGCTTTGCTTTCGTTGAAACTGATTCTATTGTTTAAGTAATCACCGCAGTTGTAGTGTTTTAATGATAGAAACTATTTTTAAATCTATGATGCGAGTCTTTAATTAAAGGCTACTTCATGCTGAAGTGTGATTTATGATTTTAAATACTGAAAACTGAAAAAGTCGGTGATACTTTTTTCTTGTACGCTTTAACAGTGTCCATGTAATAACTACTTACATTTAACACAGAATTGCTTTACAAGCACTTTTTGCAAATTTTTTGGCTAATCTTTGGAATATGGTAACAGGTAGTTTGGCGACATTTTGGTAAGGCGATAAAGGTTGCTAAAGCTAGGACTTTAGCAATAATCTGAGAAGTACACAGTTTGAATCACAGATTATTTTGTCTCAGAGAAATGAGAGATCATGAGACATGTAATGTGACATTTTCCGGAAAATTCCAATCGCAGTTTTAGCTAATAAGCACTTAGAAACAATTTCGCAAACAAGTGCAGAATCGCCCACTTATTTGTTTGGCGCTTTTTACAAGAGTAAGAAGAATTGGACTTTTGTCAATTTCTTTGACTTTAAGTGAAAAAGCTCGATGTGTAATGGATAAGTCAGAGTGTGCACAATGCCATTTTTGTGCAATTCTGGGATGTTTTTTTTAAGAGAAAAAGGTCGACGTGTACATGGATACCAGTATATGCAATTCGTAAAATGCGCAAGCAGGGCAATTCTACGCTTTTCCCAATTTCGCACCGAATCTTCGTCAGGATAAGCACTTTTGTTCCAAAAAGTTCTAGCATAAGTGTAATTCGGCTAGCAGGTGTTGAAAAAATGTGAGTAAAAGAAAAACATGCCTTTACTTCGTGAAAACAAAATGGCGTCCAAAAAAAAAAAAACTAGCAGGTTGCTGTAGCAGGGTTGGTCACCAAAGTTTCGCCAAAAAATCGCCAAGTTACCATAATCCGAAGATTCACCAACTTATTTAATATAAGGTTACAGTTTACTTTCATTTTTCAGAACAAAATAAAAAGAAATATCTTCCCAAAACATACATTGCTAGTAAACAATACCTTTTTAATCCTATACGTTTATTTATTTAAAAAAAACACATAAAAATTACTATAGTAATAAAAGAATGCAATATATTGTAACAAAATTAAAGGGGGGGATCAGTTACCTTCATTAAATATAAAAATTTGCACATTTTCTAAAGTGAACGAAGTATGTTAAAAATTACTCAAAGCAGCTATTATTAAACACTGAATAACAAATGTTCCTGAAATAATAATGAATTTACATTAGGATAAAATGAAGAATTTTTAAGTGGGGGAAAACTCAATAGATATTCCACTTTTCATTGTATTTTGTGCATGCTATCTATGTTGCTCTTAATATGCAAGACATAAATTAAACCGAAAGTTTTATCAAAAACTGTTTTGTACTATCTGTCAAAATAATATATCTTTAGGGAGATGTGGGGTTAATTATTAGACTTTCCTGAGATTCAGCAGTAGCTTGTCCTTGTCTGAGAGTCTCAATGGCCCATTTCTGATTCTTTATATCGACTGATAATTCAGTATATTTTTTGACAAGAGCTTCATATGTTTCACCAAGAGCTTCATATGCTTCCAAAATAGATGTTTTGTCCACCCGTTCTTCTTCTAACTTTTTCTCTTTTAGATATAAATCCCCTCTAATTTAAAGAAAAAAAAATGTACAATATTACAGTTGTAGTAAAATATTACTTCAAAGTATTGCATCAGCATCGAAAACCTAGAGCACTTAGTGCCCATTATACTAGCCATTATTATATTATTATACACTTAATGCCCATATACTATACCCCCTTAATTTGAAATATAAAAATGAACAAGAAATGCTTAAGATTCTAATTAAACAAGAAAGATTATACAAGAATTGGCGGTGGGGCCCATCAGACCCATATGTTACATACGTAGGATTAAAAAATACTAAGTAACCACTTCTTTCACCATGAGTATACAACATAATATAAATACAGAATAGAAAAGAAAAATATTATTGTAATAATTATATTTATTTATTTTTGTTACCTTCAATTATTATGTATCAATTATCAAATGGCAGCAGAGTATTCTTCACAAAATGTTTCATTAATTTTGCACTGTGGCATCTTCATTATTTAGTTCATGGTTCATAACTACTTTCACTAAACATTTCTGAAGAATCTATTGAAGTAATGACACCTTCTTCATACCCTGTTAATTTCTCTGCACATTGTATAATAAAACTCCTTCTTTACCTCAGTTTCTTATTGTACTCACCATTCAATAATAGCCATAATATGTCTGCACTTACATTTCACACTATATGTTCTCACCATTTTGTCCCTACTAGAAATGTTTTTGGGGGGAATAAATAATAATAAATCTGAAAGCTTTCAGAATTTATATTATGTAATAAGCGGAGTTTTTTTAACGTTTTTTTGTGTTACCTTTACTTATTAAATATCATGTTCTTCGCACTTAACCATAAAATTCAATTCAACAGCAATATCACAAAATATTTAAAAACAGCATATCCTTATAATTTCCAATACAGAGTCTCGCATGCTGCATATAAAAATACTGTTTCAGTGTTGCCATTGCTTGCTTTGAAACTGTCGAGTTTGCTAATCAAAAATTCATTAACGTTTTACAAAATATGAAATAGATAATAAACCAAATTTGAATTTTTAGCTTCCAGATGCCCATGTTCTGGTGAAGGTCTATGTTATTCAAAATTTGATGTCTCCGGGTACCATTGTTTTTTCAAAATCGGAGATACTACATACATTCATGCAGATTCTTCATTATTTAATTTCTTTAAATAAAATGCAGGGCTCTAATATTTGTTGGCAAAAATTTAAAAAGTGAAATGCCATTTTAGAGTAAATGATGCAAAATGCCAAAACGAAATTAATAGTCCTTCTGGACAACTTGCCCTTCTTGGCTAAAAAAAAAATTAGAGGGGAAAATTGTAAAATTAATTTTATAAAGAAAACTGATGCACATACTGAGATAATTATGTGGGAAAAACCCTTATAAAAAAATTAAAAGGAAGACATTTTTAACTAATTACATAGTTATTTTGCTTTTGCTAAGAATTGTTTCGTTTCTTTCATAAAATATGCTTATTTATTACCTTGTTGATTTTTCAAACTCACAATATTGTATAATAAGCCCCTAAAATGGAAAGCAATGCTACTTTATAACATTACAGCCAAAAATAAAAATATTTTATTTTAACACTATTTCTTAAATATAATTTCAATATACTACCATTATTTTAATAAAATCTATCAATGTTATAATGTTTAAAAAAATTGTTGAAAATTCCCAGACCTCTGAATTAAAATTTTGTATAGAAACTGATCTTAAAATCTCTAAAATGTTGATAAGTCACCAAATTTAGAACCATTTAATAAAAGAATTTACATCCGCAAAAGGGAAAAGTTATTTAAGAACTCTTCATTAGAAAAAAATAAATAATTTCGAAATGCTTATTTTTTATTTCTTGCCCATAAACTCGAATATCGCACCCTTTATATTAGAAATAGGAACAAATTATAACCCATGAATCCATTCAAAAGATAACAAACAATATTTGTCAGTGAATCGCAAAAAATATTCCTCCAAAATGCTTATTCACACTCAAAATGGCTGTAAAAATAGACAGAAATTTCAGATGACTAATATTAAGAACCTTTCGCAATTTTGGACGAAATTAAGAACTTTTAAGGACCAAAAATCGATTCCAAAAAACCTAAGGACTTTTAAGGACTCTTAAGGACCGTACGAACCCTGTTTTGTCATAGTCTAGAATTATTTGTGGCTTCTTTTTCAAGCTAGTTCAATATCATATTATTATGCACTGTACTAGCAAAGCAAACAATTCTACACTTTTGGGACTGTAAATGATGATAATTGTGTCCCCCTCTTGAAATATGAAAAACACACAATAGACACTATGATTTTTTGGACTTGTAAACAAAGTGAGCAACTCTCAAATTATTCCAAGAAGAGGTATTTTTTGGGGGGAGGGGGAAGGTGCATCAAAAAGCTAATGCATATACTAATACACATATGGATAAATGCAGATGATAATGCAAGAAGCTAATGCACATGAAGCAAAAATAATAATAAATAAATAAAGATTATGTTTAGTTACATTATGTCCTAAATTTTCTATTTCTTTTTCCTGTCTTCTAGGTATATTTTATCCTCAATATGATTCTCTCATTTCATTTTTACCTGTATTGACTTCTACCCCCCAAGAATATGTTGTCACATTGCAAATAATTCAGAATTTAAGCTACATATTTCATATTTGGATGGCACTTATTGCCAGAAAGAAAATTTTCCAAAGCAACTAACTGCTCATTCACAGTCATAGACCAGTTATAAACATAAAGTAGTTGCAGATAACTATTCCCCAATTCAAAAGACTCTCTTACTAGTTCTAATTTATCACTCTATCTTTCTTATGCCTGTCAACAGCACTGTCAAATATTACCCTATATATGCAGTATACTGGTGAATCAAAATATGAATGATTAATCTACCATGTTTTATGTTCCACAGTTTACAACTACTTTACCTTTCAATTTACAGTGATACAATAATGGTCTAATAAATTCTTTCAGTTCTGTTATATCTACAAATTTTCATTCTTTATTGTATTATATATTATTTTTTGCCTTCCTCTATTATACAATTAAATATCTTAAAGTTCTTCACAGAAATAAAAAAGAAATGAGGATGACATAGAACCGATTTTATGTTTTGAAATTCTTAAAGTTCCTGCTTTCTTCATTTAAAATATTGATTTTATTATGTCTTAAATGGATCAAAATAACTTCCTTTTTATATTACATTGGATTATTATTTGGGGAAACAAAAATCTGTGAAATACTCATAACTACTATATTTACTTTGTTATAATCATTGTCGTATTCTGAGTAAGTACCAAAAAAATTCATCGCATATCTCAATATCATCTACTTCATCTTCATCAGTTGATATATTTTCAAAATCATCAGCAGCAGCACTGTCTGTGTTATCTATCCCCCCCATGATCAATGATACTTTCTTCATAATCAATATTCAACTAAGTTTTTTTTCTCTTTTTTTCAAGATAAGTAAATTTGCTCAATTACCCGTGACTGTTGATAAATGATTCACTGGACAATATGCAACACTTTATATAATCTGACACAAGCTTCTCTCAAACATTCAACTGTAGAATCTTTCAGAATGTTTTCAAAAACCTCATAAGTTGTAGCCAAATTCGACAATATTTGCTACTTTGGAGCTGAAATTTATTGCCAACTCATCAATAAATAAATAAAAAGTAATTATCTCACATCTTGAGTTTTTTATGGCAACCCTGAAGTATTTTAATTGTTTAACTTCAAGTCAATGGCAGGTCCCTTTGGTAAGTAATGAAACAAATTTAAAATTTCTGGAAAATTTTGAACATAATTTGAATTGCAACCAAATGCAGACAGAATAGAACATTCCAAAAAAAAAAATTCATGAATAATTTCCATAATAAAAAACTTGCATCAATAATCTCAAAATATTGGTTGAAAATCTACAATGATTTTATGCATAAATAATCAGTAATAGTTGGTAGCAATCAATAAAAATTAAAAGAATGACTAACAATTACTGTCTAGTAAGTAACCCATTTTTAAAGTAATAAAACTTTAAATTTCAAAACTTGTGAAATATTTTTGATATATACTTATGATATTTCAACAGAAAATAAGGTAATTTCAAATAAATTCAATATCCTCAAAAATTAATTTCTATTTAAAACTATTTGAAACATTTTTGAAGCTTTCAAGGTACCTCTCAGTGTAATTAATGTCAGAAATAGAAAGGTAAGACTAAAATAACAGCAATAAAAAAAAATAACCTGATCTTTCTCAGAGCTGGCATAGTTTCATGATTGTATGTAGCAGTCAAAATTTCTAATTCAAATGTTCTAAGAGAAAGAAAGAAAAGAATTTAGTAATATTTCATCACAATATAGTAATATTTCATCATAAGTTTGTTTTCAACCAATAAATTATTAAATGTTTAAAACTTTAAATATAATAATGACTTTTAAGAATCAAACACGAAAAGCTTGATTTTTGTACAATAACAATTGGCCAAGATATTTGATATTAAATTTCAGAATCATGTTTAGGGAGTCGCACATAAACCAAAGAGCAAAATGTTTGCATTTGTATGTAGCTAAAAATAAAATATTGTTTAGAAAAGGTTTTCTGATGTTAGGAGATAATGTGAAGAACGTTTCTATACAGATTATTGCAAAAAGTATTGATCAATATATTTTTCTTCAAAATGAAAGTCCTATCCACAGAATCTTATAGAATTTGTATTCTACATAGCCAACTTGTAATATTATTTGCATTAATTAAAAATGAAAAAATATTTGAACTTTAATTAGTTTTTCATACAGTTGTCAAATTATGATTTTAAAGTAACAAATCTTCATGAGAATAGTAATAACATATTTTTAGACTTTGAAAACTTAAATTACTTGTGTGAAAATTCTTTCTACATACCAAATATAACAAAATTATAAATTAAAGCCACTAGTAAATCAGAAAAGGATATCCTTGAGTAACATAAAAGGTGGGGGGAATCAACCTCAAATTACTGTAATTTATTTATCGACTCTTCAATACAAATTCAAAATGGTATTAAACATCACAAATTTTGGCCAATTTTTCTCATTAAGTAAAAAAGATACTACTCAAATTAACAACTCCGAAATACAGATTAGAGTAATAATATTAGTAGATTTATTCATTTGTGCTTTTTAATGTGTAATATTCTTCATTTATGCCTCCACCTCAAAAATGAAACACATCGTGTAATTTTTCTTTTTAATTTTCTAGAGGTAAAACAAGTAAAAAGGGGTGCATATACAAGTAAATAGGGTAACATCAAAAATAAACAATAAGCATTGCCATTTTTCAATAACTGAGAGATTAAAATGAACTTCAAATTTATATTTTTACCTAATTTTAAGCAGAAGAGCCTGACATTGTACTAACAGGGAATGTGAAACATCAGACTTAAAATTAATTTTCTCTTCGTATAAATGAAATAATTCATTTAACAGAGATAAACCTTCTGACAGCACCTACAAAAATTATAAAGAAATTAATAAATAAGTAGCTTCAAAGATATAAACATTAAAAACAAATGTACAACTTGAAAAATATAATAAAATTAAGGGAAGGCATAGTTAAATTACTCATCATTTTTATATGATACATTTTTTTTAATCCATGATGAATATCAGGACACAATCATTTATACATCAAGTAAATTAAACCATTTATACATCAAAATAAATTCTGAGTAGAAGAACGAACTTATACTCAATCACATGCCAAGTCCACTAAATTAGGAAGTTATAACCAAGACAGCTACAAGCATTGGAGATAACATAGGTTTCAACTTGTTCACCATCATCTTATTTGTATTCCCTCAAAATAAATGTACAACAGTAAGACAGCTTTTTTTGGAACTATTCTGTGAAACTGGATATAATAAACAACAGAACAGGAGTAAATATGCCACTGAGAAACTGCTCACCTTTTTAGCTCAGAAGCTGAGGAAATTCTACCTCAGCTTCTGAGCTAAGAAGGTAAGCAGTTTCTCAATGGTACTAATCTTTACTGGATTTAGAACCCTTATACAGTTTTTGTCATCTGTTAGTTAATTTCATTGATTATCATCACAATGAAAAATTTCAGCTAAATTATGTTCGTTATTACCACTTCTCCACATTTGCTTACAAATTCCATTTATTGAAAATTTTACTTTTTTGAGTGTATGACTTTTGTAAACCTTCAGATTTGTGGCTATCATCATGAAGCTTAGCTAGCATCTCCTAAATACTACTGGCAAATACATCATGAGATTAGCAAAACATCTTCCATTCCTTTTGTATTGTTTTTATCGAACATTGACAAAGTTAAGCCTGAATTACATTAGTCTAGTTACTTGTTACACTTATGCCTATTTCCTGCACAGGCTTATCTGAGTTCTGAAGAAATTCCCACTTATACTTAATGCTTATCCACGGCTGGCACTAGACATTTTATGGTCCTGTACAGTCTCTACATGTCTGCAATTCTGCTGCTAAGCGTCTCCCTAAATTCTAAGAGTTTTGCCACCCTTAAATTTTGCACCCCAGTGCCTTCCCTAAATTCTAAAGACTTTGTTATGCCTTAATTTGTTGTTCATGCTCCTCTAAATTCTAAAAATTTTGCCTCTCCTAAATTCTGCTGCTGGGTGCAGCCACACCAGCTCTGTCTCCAATCCTAGGCTTATCTGAATAACAAATCATTATCAAATTCTCATTATAAACAGCACTAAATGTAATCTTTTAATCTATGATCAAAATCTATTTTTTGCATATAGAAAGAAATTTCTATACATGAGGAGAAAATTCTCCTCATCAACACATTCAAAGCTTTGCAGTAGAGTTAACTGAAGTCTGTAACCACTGCCAAACATAATGTCAATGTAAATGTATATCATGCTGCTTGGTATTCAATTACTAATATTAAAAAAAAAAAAAAAAAAAAAAATATTACACATTACTGCATGAGTCATTTTTTAAGCTGTAATGCATTGATAGCCATGCCGTGATGAAAGCAAAAAATCATAAAGAATGATTTGCTAATTTAGCATCAGGGATATAAATAATTCCATTGGAGTAAAATTAATATTGTTGCAGAATGTCTTGGTTTCAGATGTATGCCAAGCAAAAAGGCTGATTACGTAGCAATTTAGTTATGAAGCCAAATTATTGACCTTTACTTCAGTTATAGAAGTATTTTCTCTAGTACTGAAGTGAAATTAAGAATTGGAACTCTCTATGCGCTTTATGAAAAAATATCAAATGAACAGAAATTAAAAAATATTCTTAAAAAAAATATTCTTAATAAAATTTTTTTAAATAGATGTTGATCCAGGTCAGATTTTAAATCATTCTGAATTTTTAGGCAATAGTAACCAGGCCTTGATTCTTTCTTTCTCTCTCTCTTTCTTTCTTTCTTTTTTTTTTTTTTTTTTTTTCTTTCTTCTTTACAGAAATTATATTGGTCACAGAATAAATAGGGTTTGTTTTCTATATATTCGTGCATGATGATTTCAGATTTTTTGTGACTCACAGATTTTAGAAATCAGTTTACAAGTGAAATTTAAGTTAAAAGATCTTTCAGTTTTTAACTAAACATAACCACAAATAAGTTCTACAGTCCAACCTCGCGATAAGAAACTTTGTGGGTCTGAAGTTTGGTTTGTTATATCTCATCCAATATAAAAAATGGATGATATCACAAAAATATGAAGAAATTAATGATGAATAAAGGGAAAAAACTGCTTTACATTTTCGTATCTAGCAAATGATGTAAATATTAAATAAAAGTTTAAAAAAGAATATTAAGATTTAATCGTAGTTGTTAAATTTATTGTTTGTTCTTTTCCAGACTCTCCAAAGTGCCTGGCCAATTCGCTGGCCTTTATCTGACATGTTTGCCCAGATATTAGCAGATTATGGCTTCTTTGAATGGTAAACATTTAAGCAGTGCTTCTTCAACATCCCTATGGTGTACTTTTTTCTTATATCCAAATTTTTTCTGTAACCAGGATTTTGATTTTTTCTTATGGTATGAATTGTATATGTACAGTTAAAAGTCAGCGAGAATTTCACCACTGGTCATTCAGGTACAGTCCCACCCCAGTTTTGAGCAAGAACATCCCAAGAGGTGGTCCAAGAGACTACCACCCCTCTTCCATTACCAACCTCTCATGAGGACTTTCAGCTTGCCATACATTTAGAGTTTTCCTTGTCCCACGCACACACTTTGTGGTTACAAATATCCTAAAAATAAATTACAATTTTCCAGGACTTGAGCCCAGGCACACTAATATGGCAGTTAGCATTGCTAACTGCTATACCAACTGGTAACAATACCAACTGTATAGTTGGATAAACTGTATTTCTGACAGATATTGATTTAGTTGCATTTATTTTGTATTTTTCAAATGATGTTCATCTTATCTTTGATGTAGAAACTTAACATTTACAGCTCATATGGCAAAGCTGTGGCACCACATGGATGAACTTTTAACTCAGAATAGTATACAGAGTTCGGTCAAAGAATATATAAGAGTTTTGCTCTTCTTAAAAGTATGATAAAGGAAGATAATTTTTTCACTTACATGTCTTATTTAATGTCCAGAGAGAATACAATCAATTATTGGCAGCAAAATATGAATGACTGTGATGCAAAAATTTAAAAACCCTAATAAAAAATCTTATGCCTTGCAAAAAACCTAAAAAATACAAAACCGCTACTTGGAGGATAAAACTTGGAACTTTATACTGAAACAAAACATACTGGTAAAGATTAAAACTTGTCATTCTGTAAAAAAAAAAAAAAAAAAAAAAAAAAAAAAAAAAAAAAACATAAAATTCATCACTTCCTCTTTACATGAATTGAGAAAATTTTAAAATTCCCACCGTTGCATCAGCCTTGAATAGAATTCTATTCAGCAGCTCAAACAAAAAAATTTAAATGGAATCAGTGAATCCATTAAAAACCCTAATAAAACCATACAGTGCATGGTTCTTTAGTTCAACAGTACCATACATTGTATGGTATCCGAAGATATCCTTATTGTGTCCTGCTAGAGTTTGATGTCTTGCATAGCCCTTGTTTAGAACACAGACAGTGGGTGAAGATAAAAGAAAAACAATATATATATGTTTCCCTTTTCAGATGAAATATGGATCCTAATATTCTAAACATGGATGATTTTAAAGATTAGTAAATTTTTCCCCATTAAAACTTACAAAAATTCTAGAGGGGGGGAACTAAAGAAAAAAGCTACCTATACAGTTTGTCAAATTCGATTTTCATACTCTTGGAGGTTCGCTATAACAGTATAAAATAACATGAATAAATATGATTTGTTACAATATATTCATAAATTAATTAGACCAAAATGTTCATTTGTTATAACTGGGGTTCAACTGTACTAACAAGAGAAACAAATTTTCATCATGGCACATTGGTGATCATGGCTCACACATGGTGAACTAATGATACATTAATATCACACAGTCAATATGATACAAACCTCTGAAAACTTCAAACTTCTCCTACAAAAACAATCAACCTGAAAATATAAATAGAATTATTGTTGGTAATTTAAAAACACATTAAATGTTCCCTGAGATGGTCACTCACAGTTAAAGACAATTTCAGTCTTCTGTGAAAGTTATTTCCTTAGAGTGATGATGTTCAGTACAAATGTTATTTATGTTGTCACTCTGATAAGTGGTTGTCTAGATAAAATCTTCACTGAGGGATGTTCCACATTAATTGCAATCCTCTTTGAACTTTAAACAGGTTATGCAAACCACTGTTTCCTCTAAAAATTGAACAGCTGAAGTAGATAAAGTCATTACACTTGCATATTGAAAAAAGTGATTGATCGTTGGACAAAACGAGCATCACTAAGCTTGAGACAGCTAAATGTCATCAAAATTTGTGCACTCTGAAAAACAATTATTTTCCCGTTACATATTAAAATATGACTTGAAGAAAGCTTAAATAAATAAATGCAAATGGGCTACAATACCCATATCTAAAAAATCTGATGTATGCACCACATGACTTCTTTATATGTAATATTAAATTATACACAATTTTTCCTGCATTTCCTTTAAACTTATTTCATTAGAGATATATTTCTCATTCAATTAATTCAGTTCTCACTTCACGACAAGGCAAAAATACATAAAATCTCAAAATACTTTTATTTAAATTTAAAAATATAGAAAACTATAAAACATAAATACTGTTACAACAATATAAAGAACAACTTTTACAATTAAAATTAGAATTTCTATGCAAAAACAAGCAATTCAGCCAGCGGGCAAGAAGGCAGATTTTGCGCCGCACAAAACTGAAAGTTTACTTTTTGTCTCACTAGGCAAAAAACACTGAAGGGGTAGAAACTGACTTAATTTGCTGTCGACATTATGCCGAGTCAATATATGGGATAATTTAGTAACTTAAATTTTAATTCCAGAATGTATTAAGCATGATTTAATTCGCAAAAGTAAAAGAAGACTTTATCTTTGTTGTTGCAAAACTTAGTTTCTCTAGACTGGCAACAAATCCACTATTCTGCTACGTTCCAAATGTAAACAAATGTGGCTGCTATATGGTAATCAAAAATTAGGCTTAGCCGCACTTAAACAACTGTTAAATTGTTGCTAATTCTACAAATATTGCATGCAGGTTAACTAAAGGCATAAAAACCTTAGCCGAAAGATAAGAACATAATTCAAACATTTTTATTAAAGCAAAAAATGCACAACTTACCAACATATAAGAATTTTAAAAAAAAAACTGAGCTCATGAAGCTGAGTAACAGAGTGGGTATATGTATTTATATATATTCATTTGCTTTTGATGCGGCTGATTGTCATCTTTTCTTTGAAATATGGTACCTGGAATTTTTCATGATTACAATTCCTTTCCTTAGTACAAGGAAGTAAAAACAAATTACATAAAATAAATAAATATAAAATCAAAGAAGGTATTTTTTTGTGGGACTACAAACTAGAAAGTGATTTTTGTATCAGAAATTTGAGTTATAAGCTGAAACTGTTCAAGAAGTTGCATGGAAATCTTAAAAGGGGGAAAAAAGTGGACAGTCTAGAAATCCTACAAAATTGTGATATGGACATGTCTAACTTCACTTTTCACATATTTACTTGCATTCCTTTTCAGTCAGTCCTAAAAGTATTCAATAATTACATGATGAGAACTTTTACTAGGAAGTTTTTTTATATCAAAAATGGATATCAAGGCCATTGTGTTTCTATATACTTGCTGACTTCACCTGAGGAACAGGAGGTCATATAATTCCTTATTTTAAAAGATTTCTTTTCCTGATACATATAAAAATTTATATACACTCATATAAATTTTAATGTCACCAAAAATCCCTTGCATGCTAGGGAAGTTCTGGTGGCAAATCTGAATCAGATAACAGATACATTTTTAAATTCACATACTATTGTGACAAGAAGAAAGAAAACTTGTTATGCAGTATTATCAAAAGTTCTTTTCATAACACATGAAATTATAGTTCAATAAAGAGTTAGTAATATTAAAAATAATAATAAATAAGTAGTCATATTTTAGACATAAACTAACAAATACGTAAGCTCCCAATAAAGCAAATATTGCAAATAAAATATTTAAAATCAAGAAACATTAAAAAAAAATTATTTTCTAACCTTGTAATACAGAAAAAGCATCTCCTTATTCTGAGTTGAATATGATTTGATGATGTCAGTATTCAAATCTGTAGCAATTGAATTAAGATATTCAATTGTGCTGTTGAAATTATTTTTCCAATCACATGAAGATACAGCTAGATGAAGATTCAATTTTGTATTATAAGTAACAAATATAAAGAGAAAAATCAAGGAAAATTGTTCAAAAAATTAGTAACTTATAAACTACAGATTTACAGTTAAAAAATAGCTACAAAAAATTTACATGTGTTTGTTTTATCAGAAGCAGTAAAAAATTACTTGCACAGGTTTTTACCTCTTTTATCTGGCAACTCTGGAAACTAGCCAATGCCAAATGGTAGAAAACTATGAAAAACAGATATGAATCTCTAACAGTACCAGTTATGCTTTGGTAAACATATGCCTCCCTCTAGATTTGTCAACACACTCTACATATTTGTATAGCAGTAATCTAAAAGGTGGAAAACAGGATGAAACAGCAGAAGAATGCTGATCCATAAATAAACTGAAGATATTTATTGCAAATAAACTGAAGCATTATTGCTTCAGTTTATTTGTGTAATCACCCTGATTAGCATTCAGTCACAGTCTAAATTTGTATATCTGTAAAAAGATTTAACTGCTTGATAAGCAACTCCTCACAAATGTTAACACATCCATTACACTGGAGCTCAAGCTACTATTGCAACTGCAATAGTGAGCAAATGCCTAATTCTCCCACCTGGCTACTTTCAAATTTTTTCACAACTTCAATTTTTCCTGGCTTATATTTTTCAGCATTTTAAAATAATCTGCATTAATATTTTAAAGTCATTCAAAACTGTTAGTCTTACATCACATTTTCAAAATGAAAAATAAAGGGTATGTTTACAGACATTCTTTTACCTATCTTTTCCAGCCACTCCCTTGTTTCAAGCACAAATAATGATTTTTCATATTATTAGGATATTCAGATATGATCCAGAAGAGTGATTGAAAAACATAACAGTCACATATTTGTAGAGTATGTCATTATATGAAAAAAAATCCCTCGGCATTACAATACATTTTATGTAGCATTTGAAAGCTATTTTTTATCCTCTTCAAATCAAATGTTTGATTGGATACATATTCACAATCAAAAGTCATGTTGAAGCCTTAACATTAGAGATTAAATCTGGATTAATTAATATGTGAATAGCAGCCATATCTCAGTTACCTATATGTGACAGACATTGTTCTTCATAATATCTGCATTCTCCATAGTTGTCGCAAGAACTAAGGCACTTCCTGCTAACTCATCACTCTCATAAGTGCACCATCTGACTGGCAAAATGAAATTTCTACTGCACTACAAGTAGCATATGATGATCAGAATATTTGCAATCACTGACTGAGCAGCAAGGATCATGGCAAAAGAAAAAACTCCAACAGATTTGGTTCATTGGCCAAATGCCTTAGTACTATTAACACCATCTTCTACATTTTTATTTGATATGCTAAGTGACAATATACCTGAATATAAGAATACCTTTAGCTACAGTTCAAGCTAATATAATATCCTTAGCTATAGTATAACTGAATATAAGAAATTAACAGGAATACAAACATAACAGTGTAAATGGATTTGAATCCTGAGTGCTACAAACAGCATCAAACAAGTGAAAAATCCACAAACTAATGGCAGAAGATTCAAAATGTGATAGTTACAGGAACTGTGGAATCACAAAGCTATGAATTAAAGATGTGTCACTTGTATTATTTTAAAATTTTCTCATTTAAGTACTCATAATATTATTCTTCAATCACAACTCAAATAATTAACCTCTTCAATCCCAGTGAATCATATATGTGTTGAACTCACCATATCAGATGCGATACATGAACGAAGTATCATCGGAAGTCCATTCTATCATGTTTGATACCAAAAAAAATGAAATCTTTTATTTGATATTTTAAATGTACATAAATGATGTCAGAATGCCATGAAACTTAAATGAATACTTAACTGTCTTCAGTGCTGATATGAACCTTTTTATTATTTTATTCAATGAATGTAACACATGCAATGCTTACAATGTGTGTTCAGATTTAAAAAATGTTTCAAACTGCATAAGCAGCTTAGAAATTTGTATATAAATATGAAAACATCGACATTCAGCACTCCTTTAGCTACAGTTCAAGCTAATATAATAGAAGTCATAGACAAAGTCATAGGGAAGCTTCAATCGTCCTGCACTGGAAACAAAGAAATTACACCCGAAACTAAAATTAAAAATTCTGAAATTAGTCTACTACACAAGTAAACACTTTTTCCTAAGTGTATTTTACAAGAAGTACTTAAAAATGTCTTTTACTTTAAGTACTCAGCACATTTTACCACAAACTGGAAGGGTTTGGAAAAATACAGAAGACAAAAGTACGCTTGTTCTAGCAAAACTGCTACAAAATTTTAAATAATCAACAGAACATAATGAAACTAAAAACAAAATTTAATTTTAGAATTCACAATATTAATTGTTTAAATTATAATATTTTAATGATTAATATTATACTTCGACGGAAAGAAATATTACATGCTTTTAGTTTAAAGATACATATTTCTTCTTCAATTATCATTAATTCTAGAAATATGCACATTTCTAAACTATAAACAACTTCAATCCTATAGGAAGCAATAAAACTAAACACAGGCAGGCAAAAATATCTTAAAAACAGTGTATAAAGTGAAATGTGGCAATTTATTATTTTTAATAAATAACTAATAATTATTTTGCCCAGAATTGTAAATACACTCTTTTGCAAAAAATCGAAGCACCAAGAAGGACTTTTGTGATCGTGACGAAATTTGGTACGCAAAAACATCTTGATCAAACATGCAAATGATCAAAGTTTTAAGGCAAATGAACAGGAACTGCGATCATAGCACATATTTCTAATGTGCAATTCGCAAAGTAAAAAACTAGTAACAGAGGCGGAAAAATTATCTTTTTTTGTTACTGCCATTGTAATCCTGTAAAGAAGCAACTAAAGATTGCCTTACGACGATATCAAAGACCTTACATACAACTAAATAACTTCGAACGTGGTTTTGCATTGTAGGGTTGCGTGAAGTTGGGTGGTCATACCGAGCAATAGGCCACCACCTGCTATGCAAAGATGTTGGCAGCAATAGTTGCTATAAGGAAGCTTCCGACGAAATGAAGGCTATGAAAGGCCAAGGAGCACAAATGTGAGGCACGGTAGGATGATTGTTCGTCAGGCCCCAACGGCATCATTGTCGACTATTCAATGCACTACAGCCACGTCTATACCTCCCGTGGTACCGTCCACCATCTCATGGCGCTTGTCTAAGGCAGGGTTACATTCACAGAGGACTTTAAAACATTCGTCTTTGACCCCACAACATCGGCGGAGTCATCTGGAGTGGTGTCGCAGATGATCATTATGGCTGCCATCAGACTGGCATCCCACTTTTCTTGAAATCTGGTATTCTATTCATCTTAATACTATAATAAGCATATAAAATATAAAGGGAAAATACACAGTAATACCTTGACTTATGTTAACTAAACTTATATTGCTGGACCCAAACAGTTATTAAAAAAATGGGGGGGGGAGAGAGAGAGTTTTCATGCAGCTGAAACAAACTTCTTTTAAATAGATAAAACTTCTGTTTGGAGAAGAGGATTTAATTTGAAAACCATTAGTGAACTAACACACTGTAGAGCTCCTGAATTTCCTGGTCAAAATTAGCATTAATGATCTTCTGGAGTTTGAGAACTTAAAACCAATTTCTTCAAGAACTGGGAGGGGGGATAGTTCTTGGAAAAACTGAAAAATTTGTTCTTAAGCCTGTAGAAAATGCTTTTAATCTCTAAATATTAACTGAAGTGTAAAATTTCATTAAAGATGAGATCCAAATCTTTGAAAATAATGATTCAGACAAGCAACAGTTAGAAAGGACTGAATACCAATATTATCTTATATAAGCACCTACAAGAGGGATAAACGTCTTTTTTGATCTGGGCTTTAATGCAGGATTTTTTCCATTTAATTTTATATTCATAGTATACATTTCTTTATAATGCTGATAATCATTGCATCACATGCAACCATAAATTTCACAAAAAAATATTTAACATGTTTTAAATAGATGTTGCCATGTAAAAATCACATTCGCCTACCCGAGCTCTGTACCACCAATTATGATGCACAGGCTGAAAATATGATCAGCTGTTGCTGAGAATTACATACAGATATAATTTTTCACCATATTAGCTTGAGATTCTGAATATAAAGAGGATTAGGATATTTTTAGATTAACAAATGTTTTTAAGGTTGCTAACACTTTTTCAAGTATCTTGAACTACTATTGCCAATTTCAAGGATTTTTGCTTATCTCAAAAGAGTAAACAAACATATGATGCCCTAATATGAAAAATCTCTGAAGTTTTTGTTATTAAGTCTGTTTTCTAAAAATCAGTAAAGACAATCAAGTGTTCAATACACAAAGTCAAAAAAAAAATAAGAAAATATTGGATAAATTCGTATCAACACAAAATACGAACTAGTTCTTTAACTACTTTGCACCTCACAATACAATCAGTACTCTATTTTTGGAGTATGAAGTTTGGTAATAAACAATGTGTTGTGCAATCTAATCCTTTCATTAAATCTTCTGTAATGTTCAAAATTTCTTAAATCTTAAAAATTACTGGAAGGAAAATGGGTTATGAAAGGATTCCATTGCATTTTGAAATCAGTACATCAAAACAGGTACATCAAATATATCAAGAGAACCATAAAGATAAAGGAAATATGCGATTAATGCAAATTACAGGCTGGTTACATTGAAGAAAGTGAAAGCATAGAAAATTCAATAAAAAGTTTTAACACTCTTGAAAACCAATAAACCTTGACATTATTAATCATGTCTACAGAGTAAGGTATTAAATAACTGTTATTTACATTGCACGGATAAATTGAATAAACAAAGAAATTGATAGCATATTTTTTAACGATAGAAAAGAAAAATACCTTTAAAATTTAGTCTCTACAGTCAAAAGTCGTTAATCCGGACTCGTCGGGATTTCGGCGATTCCAGATTATCGATTTTTCCGGATTATAGATCATCAGTTTAAATCTAGTAAGACGGCATGCAGAAATTACAAAATTAAAAATATGAAACCATAATTTATGAAATAAAGAGCAATTATGATCTAAAGGGTACCAAAATTTACAAAATAAAAACTTAATATTTATTTGTTTACTTTATTAAACATTTCTTTCAACCTAAAGTTGTTAAGTTGTTTAAGTTAATAAGTTGTTAAGTTAATAAGTTGTTTAAGCTTCGTTTATGTGATAATACTTCTCTTTTAATTATAAAAAGACATAATTTCTTGTTCAGTTACAAAGTTCCGCTGTTCAAGTCCTATAATTGCTGTCGAGAATACCGACTAATTTGTCAATCGAAATTTTTTCATTTTCAATAACCTCTGTGTCACTTTCTTCACTATCGGAAGCGAATTATAATGACGAGGCATTTGATTTAAATCATATCAAAGACGGAGTACATCGAGATGAAATACTACATTGAGTAAGCAATTATAAGCCAAATAAAATAAAAACATCTGCCCTTAAGATAAGGATAGTGCTGACAGATCAACTTCCAATTCATTGCACACCGCTGCGCGTTAAAGATAAACAAAGTTTAGATAAACAAAATTTTAAAGTTTAGATAAACAAAGGATATGCCTTTATCCATTTTTTGCAGCAATTCCACTTTTTGTTTAATGGACTCCGAAAGATACTTTCGCTTTGTATATCCTTTACATATTAGTAAATATATATCGGAAATTTCGTTTGACATAATCGAAAGTTTCAAGCTTACTTTTATAAAATTGCTCTAACAGTCTGCAAAAAAAATAATAATCCGGATCCAATTCGAAGATTAAGGAACAACGCAATCTGCAACATTAACTGAAATAGATAATTAGATAATTTTAGCTTAGCTTATCCCGTCCGTTATACATTAAACGAGCATTCGTAAATGTATTTTGTGCACGCGCACACGCAAATTCGCAGCGGTAAAGGTCTTACGTGCATGCGTCAACGCGACGCATGCGCAGAAAGTTTGCAGCTTTGAGGTCCGGATTATGGGTGTCCGAATTAACGACTTTTAACTGTATTATTATTTCTAGTATATCACACTACTAACATAGAAAGAAATTGATGCCAAATGCAAAAATGACCAGTTTAATTCAAAAAATAATTAGTAAAATTTAACGAATCTTAAATTTATTTGACGATGATATTTACTTGGAAGAAACTATGTTCATTATACTATTACATATTCAATATAAAAGAATTTATGCAAAAATAATTTTGAAATCTCAAACATTTAACATATTTTAATTTTTAAAGGAAACTGCATTCATTATACTATTACATATTTAATATAAAAGAAGTTATAAAAAATAAATAATTTTGAAATGTTATGTTTGAAATGTTTGAAAATATGTTAAAAATTTAACATATTTTAATTCATATGATCCATTGTTTTTTATTAATACATGTGCTTACATTGTCCAACAAATTTTGTAACTTTCATGCAGAAATCATCTATATTGCTCTCTACAAGTTCTGAAAATTTCAAGTTTTCTGCCTAAAAATTCAAAAATACTTGTTAGTTAAAGAAAAAGGAAGAAGGCAGGGAAATAGAAAAAAGAAAGAAAAACAATGTTTACACTAATAAGTGGCATCATACTGTCTAACCACAATTTCATACACAAAAATTGGTATCAGATGATATTGACAAAAGAAAGAAAAATTAATTAAAATTACATTTTTAAATATTATTAAATAATCACTATATTAAATACCAATATAAAATATTAATTTAATTATCATAAAAACATCCTTAACAAATATTCAGCAGTTTTTTAAATTCTAAAGGATAAAATTCATGTAAGTTCACATATCATGTGCTACTGATTGACTGATCGATAGTACATAGATCTTTTTAATTTATTTCAAAACTGCAAAATACATTCTGACAGCAAAGGTATTTTTTATTATTAATCAGCTTTGTAATATATATGAGAAGTGCATCATATAAATCATGCAATTTACATCTTATCTGAAACAGGCAGCTTCAATAATTATTAAAAATAATAACAACTTGTCAATATATGTCTGCATTCTTATTTCAATCCTATCCTTAACCCTGATGTGTTCTTTTCAAAATAAGAAAAAAAAAAGAACATAAGAAATCTTATTTTTGTTAGCTTTAATGTACTTGTTATCTTCTTCTCTTGATTGACTGAATATTGAAACAGAAGCTATGAGCATCGCCCTCTCCCTCCCCCCCCCACACACACACACGAGGAAAAAAAAAAATAGAGAGAATATTGCGAAAAGAAGCCATTTTCTAATTACCATGCTGTGAAATTACAGAAGAAAATCTGTTTTGGAAGTGCAACATTAAAAAATACAGACAGATATAAAAAATGGAAATATGATTTAAAAGAAACGGAATCTCATTTACTGGCAAGCAACAAAAATCCAAGTTTTCCACACCAATCAGCATAATCAGAGTACTACCTGATTATCCACCCTATCCTGAAAACCACCAGGCTATGCCGCAAAAATAGGAAACAAAGAATGTTGCAAAATATTTATGTGGCAACAGAGGTACGATTATGTGCGCATTACAGTGTAGAATTCAAGTTTTGCAGAATTTTTTGCTTTTGAAGAAAAGGGACCTGTGTCTGATCACCCTCAAAATTCACAGTTTTATTTAAAACCTATGACAAAATAATAAGGTTGTTATTTTGCCTAATTTAAATTTCATTAATAATTATTAAAATGTGTTATTAAAAACATTAAAAACGTATTTAACAAATACTAACATAATTATTAAAGCTTCATGAGATAAAACTTACTCATACATGATCATAACATTTATTTTTTTAATTTAGTTTTAAATTACAAAGCACTATTTTGACAGTAGATTAGCATTTTGCAATAAAAGTTGCAAAGAAAATTATGGATGAATACATGCTTTATGGTATTTCCTTTTATGCTTTTTTAGCTTATGAAGTATTTAATGATATAAAGTAAACAGTGTCTTTATCATAATTTCACAGGAAACAGAACTTCATACCTCAGATTTTTTTCTGTTTTCTAGGATTGCAGAAGCACATTCTTGGCTTAAACCAAGAGGTTTCAACCGTGATGTCTCCTCTTTTTTAGGCATATACCTTTTAATAGCATTCAGATATAAAGAATCACTGGAAATATCAGCAGTCTGTAATAAAAGAATAAAAATACAAATATAATAGATATTTTATTCAAGCAATTCTCAGCAAACATTTATACTGATTGAGAATGATAAATTGTGTACACTTATATTAAATTTAAAAAAAAAAAAACACTTTTAATATTAATAAAATTTGTGTTTTTCTTCGTGATCAGCTTATAAAACATGTTCTATATAAAGTGCTAATACTTCACTATTACCTTACAAAAAAATGCTCATGACAAGTATTTCAGCCAGCATATACTAAGCAAGAAATTATTTAGTTTTTTTTAAATGAAATAACACCACCAAAAGTTATAACAAACATAAAACTAGGAAACAATTTGATTGAATGTATATCCTTAGTTAAAGTGATGCTAGTTTTTCGAGTACTCAAACTGAAACAGTCCTATGAAATCTTTTACAAGCCAAAAGGTATAAAATGGAAAAGTAATACCATTACCTTTCGTAGGAAACATATATGAAAGTTCCAATGAAAAAATATTGTCCTAAATCATAACCTAAAATAAGACCAACATACATAAAATCTAATTAAGACTAACACAAAAAAAGAAAATAACAAACAAAATCCCCAAATAAGAGTAACAGAGAAAATGCACGAACAAAATGATGAAATAATTAATATAATCCCTAGTTCTATTTTCCAAAAGCAAGCAGAAATAAAATGATGAAGAATTAATTAATGTAATTCCTAATTCTATTTTCCAGAAGCAGAAATACAGTGGGCACATTGGAAATGCAAAAGGAAAGGTAATACTTACTGTATATTAGACAGAATCATCAAAGACTGAAGTGATTGGAAGTAGGTGGAGGCTGGAATAAGAGAGACAGGAAGATTAATTTATTAACATCTCATCATGAATCCAACTGGGCTAGGTAGTTAATGTTTACAATATCTTATACATAATTCTACTTTGATGCTGAAAGTCAATTTTGTTATTGCTGTTGCTACCATGAAAAGCTTGAATGCTTAAACATTTTTCTGCCAGATATCTTTGTAAGCAATTAAAATATCTGCAAATCTGCCTCAAACCTATAGACTTTTTCAAAGCATTTCTGCAGTGAGTATATGAAACAAACGTTGAATGTTATTTTATCTTTAATGAAAGTGAAAACGCATACAGAAAGCTTTCACAAAACAGGAAATCCCATCAAATTTTCAGACCCTAATAAAATGAAGAGACAAAGAAAAAATGCAAGTTCACAAAACTTTTTGGACAAAAATTTCCTATAAAAATTAAAATTTTAAGATTTTTGACAAATATTTACAAAAATGCATTCAACGAAGCTAATCATTATTCCATGCATTAATGATGAAAATAATTTTATTACATAAAAATGCTGGTACTTTTCCATTAAAGACATACCACACATTTTCAGTACCATATTGATGCATTATGGTATTTCTTTCTGCATACCTTTGGCTCACTGCGTTATGTTTTCTTTTGTCTTTTTTCTCTCAAGGTTTCAGCAGTTTTCACAATTTTGTTGCATCTATTAATTTTAATGTTAGAATGAAATTACAAGGAACTGATTTATATTTCTTTTACATAATTATTCAATGAAGTGTTGTGTTTGATTCATTTGAAGCAAGCTTTGTTTCACAAAACTCAATACACATTAATTCCAGACACCATAAGTAAATGAAAGAAATACATCATCTAACAAACTACATTTGTGTTCAGAATACCTTTTTCCTCCCAGCATGAACAAAGGCAGTACAGCCATTTCAGCTTCAAGTCACATTTTAATTTCATGATACATTTATTAACAGAGTCCTTTCTTTTTTTCGAAAGAATATTTATAATAGCCTCTTAATAGCTTCATCTCTTGGAACATCCCAAGTGGTGAAATCCAATCCAATTTAAAAAAAGGGGGGAGAAGAAGAAAAAAGAAGAAAGAATTTATTTGATGAAAAATGTGTGTGATTGATTACAAAGATAATTATCACCAAAAAAAAGTAAACTGGCACTACCTTCACCAAGGAAATATGCCAAAGCAAACGAAAATGCTAAGCTATATGGCTTTAGTCTAAAAGTATTAAATATTACAGCATAATTAAAATTAAAAAAATCTGTCGTCAAAATTTTAGAGGTAATCACATAGTAAGAGAAAATCATGACAGCAGATTACAAAAGTGTTAAATTTTAATTCAAAATAAAAATGTATACAGAGTGTGCAAAATAAATTTAAATTTTCTTCAGTGGTACATCTTTTAAATACGAGGGTTGGAACTTTAATAGTGGCAACACAGCTGAAAAAACGCTACGCAACAAAACCAAAGAATATCACATATGCCACACATGAACTACATACCTACCTTACCTCTCAGCAAAAAGACTCGTCCTGCCTACGTCACGTGCATGCGGAGTGACACGAAGAACGGATCCTTGTATTAGCTTGCGGTCTAAAGTAAGTGTTGTCAGGATGTTTTCAAAACAAGAACAACGATGTTGGATAAAAATTGAATGTGCCAGAGGTTGTACAGCACGACAGTGTCATCAAGGGCTTCAAGAGGCTTGCGGGGAATCTGCATTGCCTTCCAGAACCGTAGCAAGATGGGTGAAAGCATTCAATGAAGGACGCCAAAACGTGGCAGACATGCTGCAGCCAGGTCGTCCGAGTGTCAGCGATGTAGACGTGCAAGCTGTTGCCGCACTAATGGACAGTGATCGCCGCCAAACGATTCATCAGCTGGCCGGACAAACAGGATTAGCACATACGACTGTGCTGCACATTGTGAAGGAACGCCTGTCCATGACAAACTGCTTCACGATGGGTTCCACATCATTTGACGGAAATGCAGAAATGGCTACGATACGATGCTGCCCGAACCCACCTGGAGCGCTATGAGCGCGAAGGAGATGCTTTTTTACGCTGTATCATTATGCTGGATGGGCCCGATCGTACCAGACAGAACTGAAACGCCAATCAAATGAATGGCGTCATCACGGTCACCACAACGTTCGAAATTTCGTCAGAACCCCAGCAATGTGAAAGTTATGGTGATTCTCATGTACGACAGTGATGGTGTCATCATAACGCATACTGTTCCCCCACAGCAGACCGTCACTGCGCAGTATTACTGCTCATTTTTGGAGCACAATCTCCGACCAACTTTGAGAAAAAAACGGCGTCACTTTCTGCAGAACGCTCCTCTCATTTTGCATGACAATGCTCGGCCTCATGCAGCGCAAGCTGCGACTGATTTGTTCAAGCGATGGGGCTGGGAAGTGCTTTACCATCCACCATACTCCCCAAATCTAAGCCCTTGTGACTATGACTTAATTCCTAAGATGAAGAAACCACTTCGTGGCACTCGCTTCCAAACTGTTCCTGAGAGTCTTGCGGCAGTAGACCGGTCCATTGAAACTATCAACAAAACAGGCACTGCTACAGGTATTCTGCGACTTCCACATTGTTGGAAACGGGTTGTACACAATGCTGGCGACTATATTGAAGAACTGTAAAACATGGTACCATGAATCACTTTTGTATTCCTTGTAAATAAATAGTTGCCACTATTAAAGTTCCAACCCTTGTACTTTAAATACTAAATTGGCAATACTGAATAACTTAATTAACAGGAATACAAATTATATTGCATATTTAAAGTTATAAAGGCTCCAGGTCTAGATATAACATTCGACATTGACTATCAAGAAAAAAAATATATGGCAAATAATTTCAGCATCATTCAAAAAAAAGATAATTCAGTTTTGCAAGTTAAAGAAATTCATCTCACCTGAAAACAAAATGCAAAATTTGAATACATTTTGTTGTTTAAAGAAAATGAGCTTGAATCACTGAAAATTTTAAATTAATGAAACTTAAATAATCAAAATTTTATTTTAACTATTCCGAAATAATAATTTGTGAAATGTCAGAAATATTGAAAGTGTTATTTGTTTAAAATTAATTTACAACCAATTCAAATTTAAAACTTCCTTAAATGTCTAGCATTTTAAATATGGTAAATTCTTAATCATCTATTCTTTTAACTCTAGTAGCTTCTTTCTTTGAACTAGTTAATTCAAAGAAAATGCAGATAAGCACTTGTTCATATCAGCAACATATAACAAAAACATTTCTAGTAATTAATAGTATATAACAGTGATCCCCAAATTCTTCACTCGCTAAGCCCTTTATCCTATATCTTACAAATTAATAATGTTTAAGAATAACATTACGAGATAGGAAAAAGTTATAGATAGTAAAAAAATGTAAAGAAGACATCAAAACAGTTGCACAATGCACATGCAATGAAATTACATTTTAAAATTCCTTAATTTACTAATATATGTCAATTTATTCTCAGTTGTGATACTGTTAAAAGTTAGCCATGTATAAAAGTTCTTCCAAAGTTCAATGAATCAAACTAATTTCTGGTATAATAGATACTGTATTGAATTGCATTTCCGCCACCCTCCCCATCATACTAATTTTAATGTCCGAAATCTAAAGGAGAAAATTATTCATTTAATTTCTGAAGTTCTGTTTCAGTTGCAGCAAGAACATAACAAATGAAAAGGATTCAGGGTTAAAAGTAAGGGTAATATTTTTTATTTAAAAGAAACCTACTTTCTAATAACAATACTTAGTAATATTGATACTACAGTATCTGATAAAATGTATTCATTTCTATTTTCTTGCAGACTGAATCTCACCTGTCTTAATGTTCTCCTCTGCTATAGTCATCCCCATCATGACAATTTATCGATGTCATGTCTTTGTCGCCATTCAACCTGTTTTCCCCCATGAAATGATCTTCAGAACTAACATCGAGTGTCTCTAATCATTTGTACTGGTTTTTGTCAAGGCAAATTTATCACTACTAAATATTTTGCAATAGAAACAGAACCTTGATGGCTGGTACTATGAGCATACAAGCTGTGTCCTAAAAAATGACTCACTAATTGTTGTTTTTCATTGGACAAAAAATTTTTAAGGGATCAACTTTTTAAGGGATCAACTATCTTTTAGAAACT